CAAGTTGGGCGCAAAAAGGGAGCCTAAAATGTCGGCTTTCTCTTTTGCGGCGTGGTCCAGTGAGTCGTCCTCCATGTGGAGTGATAGCATACAGAAATTCCCTTGAACATCCTTGGCGTGAAACCAGAATGCACGGGTTCCCAAAGGAAGGTGAACAATTTTTTTGCCAATTCTGCCAATATACTCTCAACTTTTCCTTGGCAATAACTCTTTAGAAGGACCTGGAGGACAAGTTATACTTATTTTTAAGCATGCTGGTGTTTACATCCCAAGCCGCTGAAGCTTCAGCCCAGGCCTGATAGCACTCCTGATTACTGCGGAATGCAGTCTTACAGGAGTGACCAAACCAAGGCTGCGATCTGCCTCCGATGGGTACCACAGTTGATGGAATAAATAGTTCCATTCCCTATAGCGCCACATCAGTGACAGAGTCAGCAACAGTGCTGGGATCATCCGGCTCAAAAGTAAACCCACCCCATGGGTAGGATGCAAAGAAAGACCGCATTCCGTACCAATCCGTATACGACTCATCAGGATCAAAGATGGTCCGAAGAGCCGAGAGGGGCATCGACGGAAGCCTGATATACGTCCGGATAAGAGGTCAGTAGAAAGTCCAGCAGAGAAGGTGTATGGTCCTCCACACCTGAAATCCGCGTAGGCGAAGTAACCAGTTGTGTCAAACCATATGCCAAGGAAAAGTCATAAACAGATCTCCCCGTATGATCGGTTAAACGTGAACCGAGCCATTCAGCGTGGTGGGCGTTAAAATCGCCATGTATCACGATCTCTTTGGGTGGGATCTGTTGTAGCAAGAAATCTGTAGTCATTTGGGCGTGGTCGATGAGTCGGTCTGTGTCGGCACTACAGCTATGGGACCTATACAGGCCCCCGTAGACGGGTACGGTCGTCGCTGTCTACGTGCCGCCAAAGGATAGACAGGTCCGTACTTTCAAGACTGCTGAGGCGTCGAGAACAGATATCCTCTCTAATGTATACGCATAGTCATGCCCGGGGCACAAGAAGTGTTCCAATTTATACCCCGGGTACGACAGGTACGAAGTATCAGCCGGAGAGGACACCTGCGTCTCTAGATGTTAGTGGACGGTGTTGAGGTTCGAGTGAAATCCCCTGATGTTGCAGAAGTTCACGGACCCCTGCCATGCTAGGCAGGGGTCGCCATAGTTTTATCGCTCTTTTTGCCCCGTGCAGTGTTAGTATAGAGTTTTAGTATAGAGCAGGAAGAAGAGGGCATCTTGACCGTGGATGCTCAGTTCTCCATTACCAATGGTGCTGGTACCCTTCTGGGTAGTCTTTCATTTTTGAATTCCGCTACCATATTATGGGATGGGGGGAGGGTGGCCTTCAGCCGCCTGCACTAATCAAGCGAATTGCAAAAGAAAAGTTTCTACTTTACTTTGTTATTCAGTGAGGTCGTGGTACTGCCCCGGTTCGTGCCGACCCATCCATGCTACAGCAGAAGCTACAGCTTGGCTCTACCATTACCCCGCCTTAGTATGAGTGGAACTCCTGAGGGTACCGCAGACGGCCAACTCTCCTTAGAGTTCTCCAAACACGTGTTCTTCGTGAATCCGGTTGAAACCCAAACCGGGACTCATCGGTGAATAGCACCAAAGGCGGTTGGTTGTTGCATGAAGTTGCATGAAGAACAACTTCATGCAACCTCCTTCACAAGGTTTGGTCACTTACCAGGCTGGGTATACTGTTTTTGAATTAATGGTCGAACTTTATTAAATAAATTTTTAAAAGAATCATTGTCCATCCTCAGAAAGTTCTTATAATCATCTGGCGCGCTAGTTTCTAGCACTCTTTGTAGATGTTCGTGTGTGAAACGATATCTTAATTTGTACCGTTCTTTGCACCAAATTCTTTTTCTTTTTTTCTTATTATTTAAGCAAGACATTAATACAATACGCGAGAAAATCTTTATCCATAGTCGATGGCATTTTTTGAAACCGCAATAGGACTTTCTTGTTTGAACTTTGAAGCCACACTGCGCGCTTCTGTTTGATGCGAATTCAAAGCGACATCAAACGGTTTGGTCAAACACGTGAGGTTTGAATCAAACCGTTTGACCGTCTCGGGGGCCCTTTAAATTAAAAAAAAGAAAACAATCTCATTCCTTTTCATTAGGTACTTAATATTAGTAGAACAATTTTAATTTTCCTTGAGATAGCGAATTACTAACAATTATGCTGCCATAATTCTTTTTTTGGTTTGTATTTTTTTATTGAAATTTTTAAAATTTGAAAATAGAATAAAAGAGATTTCAATCTGTATATAAACTTTTTATGGAACCTAAAAATATTTTAAACTATAAAGTCGTAAATAGTTTAGGATTAGGGTATCCCTAAATTTTATTATGTGTGTATGTAATTACTCTGAGATTAGTACAGACGGGCGGAACAGAACAATGACCTCTATATATATATATATATAAGTACGCGAACGAAATTACAAGAATTTCTATCGTTGAGAGCAAACCATGAAAGCAAACTTGTAACCTTTGTTAACATTCTTGAGTACATAAATGTATGAGAAAGAATACAATACTCAAAAGGGAACTATTCAACCTAATATAAAGCCAAGTTACAAACAGTTTCTTTTGTTAGTTCTTTTGATTAGTTTCGTTATAAAGTTAGTAAGATACTACACGAGAAAGTTTTAGTTTAGGGTAACGTTTAAAAAAAGATATAGCTAAAAGGACTGACAACTGATTAAGAGAAAGTCACAGACTAACTATACGAGAGAAAGGTTCTCCAGTGACAGCATATTTGTCATACTGTAAGCTTCTGATAATTTTCTTATTAAGATTTTTGCCTTGGATGTTTGACCTTTAAGCAATGTCTTCATTTCGTTCGGGATCTTCGTTTTTATGGATATTCAGTAACAAGTGGTAATAATCTTTTATAGTACACTCCTTCACAATATTTTGATGGGTCATATTGCGCCAGCCCTTGGGAGATTTCGACAGCAACTTGAGCCAGCAGTCATTTGGCGATAGTATCTCAAGGCGCCTAAGCAGACAGACACCTTATCTTAAGATTCACATCACCATCGGAGCACTTATTTCACCGTTTTTACGAGTACTAATAGTTCACATGTGCAGACATTTAATACACAAAATCGCACCACTTTTACATATCAAAATCCATTTTAAACCATTATTATACAATAATATAGGAGCAGCAATCCACCGCCGCGCCGGTCAAGTTCCCGCCAAAACTCAACTTCTGATAGAAAAATGCACAATGTGAAGTAATTGAATAATCAAATTCATATTGCTGTGTTAGAATACTAATTATCCTATTTCGTCTCGTGGGTCGTAAGTAACGACTTTGGTAAATGCTAAGAAAATCTTATGGTTTGCGATAGATGGCGTTACAACAATCTCGTTTAACCGTAATTAAAATACTCAGAACGGCGATGGGTAGCATCATCATAGGTTCAAGACGTCTGGCGTTACGAACATCAATCCACCTGCCTGTCGTGATAATGAGGAGATTGAGGTGATTTTATTTATCACGTAAAATGGTCACATAGTGTCATCGTTATTGAGAAGTAGCGATTTCAATAAAGTCGTTTCGGTGTATGCATATACATATATAAAACAATGTCTCATAGTTGTGTTCTTTAATACTGTACACATTTTTAACTTTTTTTCAAATTCTTCTATTTTTAGGATTATCCGTAGTTTGTTTAGCCATTTCAAATATAATTAATATAAAACATAGCTAATATTTCAGAAAGAAATATTAAAGTCTAGACTTTTCTAAGAAATCAACATCCCCGCCATAAAATCTGTTAAATATTACACCTCATTCAGAAATGGCGCCACCCTGGTGGCAGGAAAAGTCGTAGATGCCCTCATTGGGGCTATCCTCTCACGATGTGAGAGACCCATGTCCAGTCGAATCTAGTAGGTATCAACTTACAATCGCAGTGTTGTGGCGGCGTATAAGAATCCATCTTCAAATTTCGTGCAGCAGCAGCAAGAAGCTGCTAAAATTACGTAAGTATGACCAATATGTGTGTGATGGAAAAATAGGAATTATAAAGTGTAACTCTTGCGTACCTTCTACGAAATATCATTGAAACAATGACAGATTCTGTGCTCGTCTTAAAATATTATCTTTGCTTGTCCCAATATGTCAGGCTACTTCACCGTGAGTATTCCGCCCACAGATTCCAAACGCAGCCAATGTTTGTACATCACGCACGTGTGGGTTAGTATGATTGAGTCCGCAAAGAGTGAGCTACGAGAGTGATTTAATCGGAAAGACATTATTTTTACCACGTTTTTACTAAGTCACTTTCCTATTTGTCTGTTTGTCATTCGAGCACTTCCAATGTAAGAATATGAAACTAAGAAGTACTAAAAAGTTTAAAAAAACGTGGTATATTAAACTTTTTAATACGCCAACAAATTGACAAGAATATTTTTGAAATTTTAGTACAAAATTTAAAAAAAATACTTTGTAGAACATTCATCCTTTATCATACGAAGCACAGTAGCATTATTTTGCTAATTTACCCTGGTCCTTTATTAGAACGTGTACCTCCCCCGGTCCTGATTTAACTTCGTTTCCTCGACCGTTGCCCTACCTCTTTTCGCTTCGAATCACTTTTGAAACGTCGCTTCTCTTCTATCGTCAAGGCGTTTTATAATTTCTTGCACGCGGACAATTATTCAGGCACGTAACAATTTTGTGCAGGTTATACAATTTTGGAATCGAACCTGCGGCCCGAAAGCCGCAGTCAAATGCATAATGCTGCACACTGCTCTACCGAGTTGTATAGTGTCGTGCAGTTTACAGGTAACTTTTTTGTTAAATTTTGAAAATAAAAATTAAATTTACTGTGTTTTTTTTTATTCACAGATAGAGACTACTCAGATGAGTGTTGTCAGTAGAACGAGAAATAAGAATATGCAAACAATAGAACGTATTGTAATTGAAACTGTAATTTGATTGAATGTGACCATGACGTTATACTTAGAGAAATTTAATGATACTGTGGTTGAGACATATGAAGAATTCCCACTTCTAATGCCACGATGGGGATACGTGGCATCTGCTTTCGTGTTGTTCATAATCGGCTTTTTCGGATTTTTTCTCAACCTTTTGGTCATCCTTCTCATGTTTAAGGATCGACAGGTAAATAATTAGTTAGCATTAAATAATATTTTATTTATTTAATAGTTTACGTATGTACGCACACATGCGATGACTGAAAAATAGAAATAATAATAATAAAAAACAAATACAAAGACACCGATAAATTATTATTTAAAAGTGACATGTGGTGACGGAGTAATTAAATCCACTAACCCATATCATCTCGTGGGTGTCGTAAGAGATAACAGAAGGAATCTGAAACAGGAGAAGGCCGCAGTAGTATCTCCCTGATGTCAACTTAAAATTAAAATAAAACTGCGGTTGCTAACACGTGTAAGGGTGCGTACAGATTAAGTATTATGTTGTGTAACTTTTGCTTAATAACACGTCCACATTATGTAACATTGTTTTTCAACATTGCAATAAATAACAATACTGTACACATTAGAATAACGATGCAATATAACAATGTTATATGACATTGTCGTATGACGTTGTCGTTTGTTTTTCTGCCGTTCGAGTTATATAACATTTGTGTCACGTCATATAACACGTTCTATAACATTCAGTCTCCACATTACTGAAACATGTTATTAACAACGTTTTATAACATGTTATGTTATATAATATGTACGCACCTTAAGCGCTTACACAGAGACATTTTCTTGTTCTCAACAACTCACCACCATACATACCGTCCTACTTCCAATCTTGTAACAGCCCAAGCGACCATATGATAGGTATATAGGTATGGATGGATAGACTGGGTATGTAGTATAGAGAAAGATTTTAAGCATCATGTTATGGTGATTTATTCAAATCTAAATTTAAAATGTCTTGTCTCTGTCTCTCATAAAATTTAAGTTAAATAATTTTCTTGATTAAAAATTTAAATTGTTCAAAATTTTTTCAGCTTTGGACGCCTCTAAATATAATACTTTTTAATTTAGTATGCTCCGATTTCTCAGTGTCCGTTTTGGGAAATCCCTTCACTCTTATATCTGCACTGTTTCATCGCTGGATATTTGGTCATACAATGTGCGTGCTCTACGGATTCTTCATGTCTTTATTAGGTTGGTTATCAAAACTACTTGATTATATTATAATGAAGCTACTTTACTCAACATAAGCCATTGTAGCAATTAAGGCGTGATAACTCAGGGGCTAAACGCAAAGTACAGTTTAAGCTCCCCCTGTACCAATTAAGTTTCAAATTGCTCCATAACTCAGGGAAGACATATGCCCAGTTTTGGGAGGTATATGGCTACTTTACTTTATTTTTTATTTTTTTCAGGGATAACATCAATCACAACACTGACAGTTATATCTTTTGAACGGTATTTGATGGTAACAAGAGCCCTTAGTTCAAGACATCTCACTTCAAATGGCGCCGCTATGTCAGTTGTGTTCATATGGGTTTATGCGTTGGCCCTCACTACTCCCCCACTTTTTGGATGGGGTAATTATGTTAACGAGGCTGCAAATATTAGGTAATTATACTGAATGCAAACTAACTTTGCCATGTAGAGGTGGTGATAAAGGATCCGCTACCCAATATCAACGCAGATGGCGTTATGTCGTAAGAGGCGACGAAATAAAATTAATCAGAAGATGAAAGCAGCACCTTCCTGATAGCAAATGTTCAACTACATTTTATTAAATTTAAAAATAAAATATGTTATGTTTATTTTATTTGGTTACAAGAAATACAATATTGTTAGAATAATTCTATGGCATAATTTCATTTTACTGACTTTAAAAAAGAGGAGGTATTCAATTCGACTGTATGTTTTTTTTTTTATGTATGGTTACCTCATAACTTTTTTCTTGGTGAACCGATTTCGATGATTCTTTTTTATTTGAAAGCTGTTGCTTCTCATGTGGTTCCATATAAATTTTATCAAGGTATGACCAGTAGTTTTTGAGTTATCCTTAATAATATTTATTGATGTCGGTTGTACAAATGTTTTAATTTTACAACTTACAACTAGACACCACACCACGTAAAAATATTTCAAATCTTACGATTGTCTACTACCCTAATGATGTATAAATATTTTTTTTCTTTTCACAGTTGTTCGGTAAATTGGCACGAGCAATCGCTTAACACGCTCACGTACATTTTGTTTCTCTTTGCAATGGGTCAGATTTTTCCTTTCACTATCATTACCTATAGCTACGTCAACATCATCCGTACAATGAGAAAGGTAAGATAACGTATTTTATGAGTTAATAAAGTTAAAATGCAGTTTCTAAAACTGAAGTGACAAATTAATTTACAGTATTTATTTTTTATTTAAAAACTTTATTGTTCTAACCAATAAAAAGGTTACAAAGGGCGGACTTAATGCCAGTTAGCATTCTCTGCCAGTCAATCCATGGCAGGGTGAAAAAAGTGGCAAGTGACTTAAGTAACTCAATATAATAAATTTTTATATATATATATATATATATATATATATATAACACTTATTAAAATAATAGTGTATCTGATGGTAAGTGGCTACTGCAGTAAATGGATTCCCGCAGCCAACTTCAAGTAAACAATATTACAGATATGTTGTCACCTTTGATGCCTAAGATGGAATTCTTCAAGGCCTATAATATACTGACTCTCTATAGCGTTCAGACTGAAACACGGCAGTGCAAGTACTGCTATTTTGGTGGTAGAGATAAGTAAATGGCTGGTACGTGTGTACAGATCAGCTCTTAGTCAGAAAAAGAGTTTTACCACCTTGTATAATATTACTCTGTAATAATACTGGTTCTTTATACAGTAGTGTGGGATAATTAATTTAAAACGTAGATTTTTGAAGTTATACTTCTGTTGGGGCATTTTGGCGGTAATTATGAGAGTGAATTTTTACGATACGCGCGCACACCGACAGCTAAAAACGACACCATGAAGTTGTTACGATGCGCGCGCACACTGACACCTCAAAGCGACAACTTCATTGGGTAACTGTCTCTAAGTTTTCGCGGGAAATGATAACTATATTTAAGGTAGTTATTTTTAGTTATTTTTGTTTTGTCACGCTAAAGAAGTATAACTTCCTATCTGCGTACATAAGTACACACATACACACGTTTTTTTTGTCACAAAACTAAAGTGACAAATTAACTTAAAGTCTTTCTGATGCTAAATGGCTACTGCAGTTCATGGAAAGTAATAAGCAGCCAACTTTAAACGAAAGAAGTTAACGCTAACGAAGGCAGACGCGTTGACACTTCTGAGGATAAGATAAGATGCCTTACAGTCTGTAACTATACTTTAATAACACAGCAGTACAATCACTGCTATTTCGTAATAAACATAAGTAAGAGGATAGTACTTACCCTTAATAAAGGCGCAAAAGTAAAGTTACAATATATTTTTAAAATAATTAAAAACCCGGACTAGAATGAGTTGGAACTCCATTTTATACACCCACGATAAGTCTAAATTTCGCCTTATCTACAGGCTACAAATTTCAATGATTAATCACAATTCTATTGTTTAATTAATTTTGTTTCCTTTTATATTTCTAAAAATGTTTATTTTAAATTAGAAATAAACTTAATTATGTGTGTTGATAGTAACTCTATCTCGAGGCTCGGATGTCTCGAAGAGTTTTGCCTGTTTCGGTACTGATACTCGAATGCCGTAAATAAACAAAGATATATTTCATTTATATATAATAGGTACATATAACAGTGTAAACAGTAAGATAAATATACTTTCACTAAAATAATTAACTTAGTGAAGTTCATAAATCCTATTTCTAATTTTTTTTGTCAAAATATGCCGTGATTACGACGAGAGTAAGCGGAGTTATGTACATCTAGTAATATTCGATAAGTCTGTTTAGATTTAAAATATATTTACGTGTTTTTTTTTAATATTTACGTGTTTCTCTTAATATTAAAATGATTTTATCAGATGCTTAGTTTTTGCCACGACTATGTTTAGTGCATCTATATTATTATACTCCAAATAAACTCTTTTAGATTGTAATTTAGATCAACACATTATACCTCCTTTAATTTGTAGAACTGCATATCTTTCATTTGTTTCTGTACCTTATTGAATAAATTAAAAATGAAATAAAATAAAGTTATAGGTAAGGTGGTCACCAAACAATGCTCTAACGAAAGGGTAAGTCGGATCGAATGAAAAACTAAATATTGCGGTTATAAATCGTTCTCGCATACTGCAACTGCTTTAAGTTTGTAATGGCAAAAAAAACATGAATAGTAGTTTCATAAAGTCTGTTGCTCACTAAATATAAAAGTGAGTAAATTCAAGTTGACCAGATGACAGTTAATTAACATATTTTCGCAGTCCCGTTATTAACAAACCCCGTCACTATTACGCAGCTATATCATAGTACGCGAGCAACCTGAGTTCGACCCCCGCCGGCACTAATGAAATTATTAATTAGAAATTTGAAGTTCAGATTTATCACGAGCTCGTTGGCGAAGGAAAACATCATGAGGAAACCTGCATGTCTGAAAAATAAAAAAAATATTTTGAAACCGAAGACAAGAGAAGTCCGTCAACATCCACTGAGGAAGCACCCGCTCAAAAATGAGAGGAGACTACTGTGGAACGTACATAGGCCGTAACATAGTTAACTATTACCTGATTAATAGGAGATCTTCACATAGATTACTTTATACAAAAAAATAATATTAATCTTTATTATAGAACTCTCGACGCCTTGGACGTGTAAACCGTGCAGAGGCTCGTGCGACTGCAATGATATTTATAATGATTATATCATTTACCATTGCATGGACACCGTACTCTCTCTTCGCTTTAATGGAACAATTCGCAACTAAGAGCATCGTAAGTCTTATATTTAGTTTTAAGCCATAATCAGGGAATGAAAAATGGTTACGAATTTCGGTACGGTTCTTTATTTTTCGATATGATTCCGGTTCTGGTTTCAGTTAAGGTTCCAAGATACCAGTTCCAAACTACCGAAACTTTGAAGCACAGTGCAGGCCTTTGTGATGTTATAATAAGCTTTATTTTTACATTAATTCAATTTTTTTATTATTATATAATACAAAAAAAAGTATAACTCCATTATATCTTCCTTGCAGCACTTTTTTATAGAATAATGATGTCAAACAAGCTCTCAGTCCACCTGATAATAAAAGGATGCTATGGCTCATTGACTTCTACTTTAATCCTGATCAAAATGATCTGTATTTTTGCTGCCACCCCTGAGAACTAAGATGGAATTCCTCGTTTCCATTAAATAAAGTCTGCGGTTCTTTAAACTCGCCATACGAAACACAGCAGCATTGAGCTGCTATTTTACGCTGGTATTCTGTGAGAGCATGGTTCTTCCTCGGTCGAGCCCGCTTATTCGTGATAAAAACTAAACATCTTCTACTTCTAAAATGATCTTAATTCATTAACCGATATTTCATTGCGAGTAGTAGTAGTTAACAACCGAGTTACTGAGGGGGTCAGCGGTTGAGATCGGGTACTGTAAACAATTCAGGTGTGTTTAGATTTCATTTTTGGGATTTTTTATTAAAGTGTAATCGACGGTGGCGAGGTGGAATTGAGGGTATATCGAGATACCCCCCAATCGTTGGTGCAGTGTAAAGCTCACTGTAGACGTCATGTGCGAGAGATTCCGCTTAATTCATTGTATCAGTGAAGTCATGCTACAAGTGCTGGTATTCGTGGAGTGACAGTATCGTGGTTCTGTTCGTTGTGGTGATTCTTCTGGTATAGAAAAGGAGGATGGTGCTGCTAGGGGGCTTTTCTGTGTTACACTGAGATGTGTAGTGTTGCTGTCGGTTTGCATACTTTGGTGTTATCATGTAATCACATCCCTCACGTTACACTAATGTGTAATTTTTACAGGGACATATTACGGTATAGTCAAACTGTAATTGCTCTACATATTGCGTAGGCAAAAGAGCACGGTGAATTTCAGCTCTCACACTTTTATTATTTTTAACAATTAACCTTTCCTATTGTATTTCCGAGATCAGATGTGGGATCTCCTGTTGTATTTCCGACATCAGAAGTGGGATCTTCTGATGAAGTTCTGATAAAAATAATATTTCGTTTAAGCATTTCCAAAAGAAACAAATGTTTCATTAGAAAAACCTGACCAAATCCTTACTACCCATATTGCAGACGAACTGCATTTTAATTGTATGTATATTTTAATTGTATGTGTATTTAAAAGGCGACAAAGGGAAACAGGCAGGAGATGGGCAGCAGCATCTTCTTGACAACAACAAACTAACAATAAAAAACTGCGGTTGCCAACCCGCTCGCCAAGCGTGGCAACTATGGCAAATACCCCCCTATGAATGACAGTAACAAAGAAACGGCCCCCAGTCCCCGGCGGCCCCGCTATTCCTGGCTACGGTGGCGACCATGGTAACGGCGGGGCAGGGGGTGCTAAGAATCTCCGGTGGAGGTTCGGTTGCCACCATAGACGACTCGACCTGGCAACGTACAACGCACGCACCCTGAGGACTGACGAGAAGATTGTGGAGCTGGAAGAAGAGATAGACAAGTTGCGCTGGCATATTATAGGATTATCCGAAGTCCGAAGAGAGGGGGAGGACACGGTAATCCTCGAATCCGGCAACTTGCTCTATCACCGGGAAGGCGACCATCTGTCTCAAGGAGGTGTCGGATTTATCGTCCACAAGTCTCTCGTTAACAACGTTGTAAAGATCGGGAGTGTGTCGACGAGGGTTGCGTACCTTATACTCAGAATCACCAAACGGTAATCGCTGAAGGTCATACAGGTTTACGCACCAACCTCGGCACACCCCGATGAGGAGGTGAAGGAAATGTATGAGGATATCTCTAGAGTCATGCATTCCTCCAAAACCCAATATACGGTGTTAATGGGAGACTTCAACGCAAAACTAGGCACAAGAGAGAACGGTGAGCTGAAAGTAAGGAAATTTGGAATAGGGCAACGGAACCCAAGGGGCCAGCAGCTGGCCGACTTCATGGAGAAAGAGGGACTCTTTATGATGAACTCTTTCTTCCAGAAGCGGCCCCACAGGAAGTGGACCTGGTCGAGCCCCGACGGTTCGACAAAAAATGAGATTGACTTCATTATGACGACCAGACGACAACTGTTCAGTGATGTCTCCGTGATCGCGAGGGTGAAAACTGGTAGCGATCACCGAATGGTTAGAGGCACACTGAACCTAAACTTTAAGTTGGAGAGGTCTCGTCTAATGAAGTCAACGCTCCGTCCCCCTCGTGCTCTAATCCAAAGTCCCGAAACCTTTCAGCTCGAGTTACAAAACCGTTTTCAGTGCCTAGAAGACTGCAATGAAGTGGACGATTTGAATGACAAGCTCGTGGAAACTGTCCATGCGGTCGGAGCTAAGTTCTGCAAGACCCGCCGCAGAAGAACACAAAAACTCTCCGATCACACTCTTAATCTCATGGCTGTTAGACGGGAGATGAAGCTACATTCTTCAACAGACTTGACAGCATACAGGCATCTGAACAGACAGATCTCCAAATGCATGCGGCGGGACTTACGCAACTTCAATACAGCTCGTATTGAAGAAGCGATCGAGCGGAACCAAGGCTCCAAAGTCTTTGCCAGAGATCTGTCTGCCAGAAAGAGCCAAATGTCAAAGCTGAAGACAGAATGTGGCAGCATCGTTTCCGGGACACCTGAGATTTTGAGTGAGATTGAAAGGTTCTATGGGCAGTTGTACACGTCATCGTTGTAGCTACACGCAAGTGTGAGTAACGATCCAAGAGCGAGTCTCATCCGACACTATTCCGAAGATATCCCGGACGTCAGTCTGAGCGAGATTAGAATGGCTCTCCAGCACCTTAAAAACGGTAAGGCCCCAGGCGAGGATGGAATTACAGCGGAGCTTCTGAAAGCGGGTGGAAAACCGGTACTTGAAGTCCTTCAGAAGCTCTTTAATTCCGTCCTCCATGGTGGCATTACACCGGAGGCGTGGAGCAGAAGTGCGGTGGTCTTGTTCTTCAAGAAAGGTGACAACGCTCTCTTGAAGAACTACAGACCGATTTCCCTTCTAAACCGCGTCTACGTGCTGTTTTCGAGAGTCATTACGAATCGTCTCGCGCGCAGACTTGACGACTTCCAGCCTCCCGAACAAGCCGGTTTCCGAAAGGACTTTAGCACCATAGACCACATACATACCCTTCGGCAAATTGTACAGAAGTCCGAAGAGTACAATTTGCCACTATGTCTGGCGTATGTGGACTATGAGAAAGCCTTTGATTCCGTCGAAATTTGGGCGGTGCTGCAGTCCCTTCAGCGGTGCCAAGTTGACTGTCGGTATATCGAAGTGTTGAAGTGCTTGTACAGTAGGGCTACGATGGCTATCCGAGTACAGAACCAGAGTACGAAACCTATCCAATTGCAGAGAGGTGTAAGACAGGGTGACGTCATATCCCCGAAACTCTTCACCGCTGCATTGGAAGACGTTTTCAAGCTTCTGGACTGGAAAGGATACGGTATCAACATCAATGGCGAGTACATCACTCACCTTCGATTTGCCGACGATATAGTCCTTATGGCAGAATCGCTGGAGGACCTAAGCACTATGCTCAATGACCTTAATAGTGTTTCCCAACGGATAGGTCTTAAGATGAACATGGACAAAACAAATATCATGTTTAATGTCCATGTCACACCTATGCCGGTAGTTGTTGGGAACACTAAGCTCGAAGTTGTTGACGAGTATGTTTACCTGGGACAAATAGTCCGACTAGGTAAGTCCAACTTCGACCGAGAGTTCAATCGACGGATTCAACTCGGCTGGGCAGCGTTCGGGAAGCTAAGACACATCTTCTCGTCAGACATACCTCAAAACCTTAAAACGAAATTGTACAACCAGTGCGTGTTGCCAGTGATGACTTACGGAACTGAGACGTGGTTCTTCACTGCTGGCCGGATGAGAAAGCTCAAGGTCGCTCAGCGAGCTATGGAGAGGGCTATGCTCGGAGTTTCTCTGCGTGATAAACTTAGGAATGAGGATATCCGCAGTAGAACCAGAGTAACCGACATAGCCCAACGGATTAGTAAGCTGAAGTGGCAGTGGGCCGGCCATATAGCTCGAAGAACCGACAACCGATGGAGAAGAAAGGTTCTCGAGTGGCGGCCTCGTACCGGTAGGCGAAGTGTAGGGCGTCCCCCCACGAGATGGAGTGACGACCTGGTAAGACATGCAGAAAGTCGATGGATGCAGGTGGCTCAGGACCGTGCTTTGTGGCATTCTTTGGGGGAGGCCTATGTTCAGCAGTGGACTTGTGAAGGGCTGTAATGATGATGATGATGATGTATTTTAATAGCCTAATACTATATTATAATAATACTTTAAACTGTATAGTGAGACAAAAGCGAAATCGCTCGTAAAAGTAAGCGTGTTTACATTTTTTATCTCATCTTGATGTACTTACTGTCTTATTATATTTTTTCTTTGGTAATGGATTCGTATGGTTATACTTTGGCCAGTGTCGAGTAATATGAATTTATCATTTATGATATTTTATTTCAAAAAAATCTTTACAATATGCTGATGCGTCACAGTGAGAATTTCTTGGGAGATTTTCGCAACAGCTTAACCCAATGGATAGTCGATGACGACAGTATCTCAAGTTCTTAAGCCGCTTGAGCGGACAAAATAACTTGAGATTTATTTCAATATCAGAGTACTTGTTTCGTCTTTTCCATCACTCATCAAAATTCACTTCAAAATATTATCACAGAATAAATAATAGGTATTTTAACGATAAAGGATTAACAGTCCGCCGGTGATAAAGATCCCACTAAAACTCCTTATTATTGCCGAAACAAATGTGTAGTTATTTTTTTTATAGGAACGATAAATCTATAGAGAACTTACATTGTTTTATTCGACAGTTTGTATTACGTAATAATTTACACTTCTTTATTGCAGGTGTCTCCTGGTGCTGGAGTTATACCAGCGTTAGTTGCAAAAAGCTCTATTTGCTACGACCCTCTTATTTATGTAGGGATGAATACGCAGGTGTGTATGAAAATTATTAATAATAAAGAATAATGAATACATAATCTTCAATAAAATCCGTAAAAGGGATATCCGCAAAATAAAAAGAGTATGACATAGATCAAAAGCTAAAGTGGGAACGGGCGGGTCATATAGCTCAAAGAACCAACAACCGATGAGTAAGTTCTCGAGTTACAGCCTAGTACTGGTAAGCGCAGTTTCGGGTGACGTCTCACTAGACAGAGTGACAGCCTTATGAAACACACAGGTAGTCGATTGATACAGGTGGTTCAGGATCGTACATTCTGGCAATCTATAAAAGAGGTCTAGGTTTAGCAGTAAACCTGCGATGAGCTGTGTTGACAGTAATAGTTAATTTAAATTAATACTTATTTTAAACCGAAAATGTAATTTTTTTATTTCCTTTGCAGTTCCGTCAATCAATAAAACGTATTTTTGGTATTCACGCTAAAGGCAGTAGTTCGCAAATTGAGAGAGGTAAAAGTACAGTTTTGTCCACCTCAAAAATTACAAACATTGTCAAAAGAAACGAAAAAAATTGTGAATGTACGGATGATCAATCTGATGAAGTCAAAAATGTGATCACGAATAAAAAATTCAATAATAAATTGGAATTGTTCACAATTGAAGAAAGAAAAACTGTATCAGACGCAGAAAGATCTGGAGAAACTTATTATGATGATGAGAGCAGTAGTGCCAATAAAAAAATAGTAGCTTTAAGAAATTCTTGCAAACTAAATGACGCTTCTCCAATTCTTTCTATAACAGACACCGAGAAACCTACGAGTATATTTACTAAAGCATATGATCATGATCGTAATGATACGAACGATTTACTAAAGAATGTGTACACTAACAAAGGATTTGAAGAACATTCAACAGGTCTAGTGAAAACTGATGAATTAATTAGAACACTAAAGCGCCCAAACACCATCAAACATAGTTTTTCGTTAGATTTGGGCGGAACATCTAATGAAGGAAAGAGAAGAAAATTTTCTATGGAAACTAAATTAGAATCTATCGCGACACCGAAAAGTTTTATTGATATAGTGGTTAGTAAATTATTTGATCCAGAGTATACTCAAGATAGTATAAAAACTTACTTCTGTACTTCTGAAGAAAATGAAAAAGATGAAGCTAATATGTAAATTAACAAAACCTTTACTTAATTTAATAATAACAAAAAATATTCTTATAATAATAATTAATCATTTTTAAATATTATAACTAAAAAAAACTATCCGTGTCTTGTCGTCACCTCTGGTGACAAGAAGAGTGGCTTTTTCTTGCTTAAAGGCTTAAATATATTCTTTAAATATTCAGCAATGAAACAAAACCTTTCTTGGCACTATAAGTTGGAGAGTAGTACTATATAAGATAATTATAATTTTTAGTTCTATTTTTAATATTATAATACGTATATTTAACAAATAAATATATATACAATTAATTAATAACATAAATTCTATTAAGCTTATACCAAAGATTTTAGAAAAATTTACTTCGCAAATATCCGCGTTATAAAATAAAATGAAGTGTCTTACCTAGTATGAAGAGCACCTCCCGCCATCCCTCAATTGCGTGCACTATCCCCGTCACCACTAATCCCAGCACCGCTACTCCCAACTTCACTACACTAGGCAAGACACACCACTGACGATAATACGACACGTGTTTCGCCACATCTAAGACCTAAACCTAAGTTAGCGGTTAGCCACCGTAGAGTCTATATCACCTGAGGATGCCTCGTGTAGAGGCGAAACACGTGTCGTATTATCGTCAGTGGTGTGTCTTAACGTGTGTCTTCAGTCATTGCTAGTAAAGCGCAACTCACTGCCAATTGCAATTCAAGCCTAAGGAACTACAAAGCGTAAGAGTGGTGTACTGAACTGAAGCAGAGATAGAGCGAGATTTAGATGCATCGATATCATTCCTTAAAAAAAAATTTGTTGTGTCCACTAAAGGATCGTTTTATTACAAAACACCCTAGTTACACTCTTAAAATTTTTTGAGACCAAAATGCTGTTTTCAACATGGCACTTTTAGAAAAGGCATCGTAACGTTTTGTTTTTAAAGATCTGTGATAAAGATATGAGTGCCAAAATGGAATGTATTGAAGATATTCTAAAATATTTTTGAGACGAACGAAATGATTTATTAAGTGAATGTAAATGTCGAAAACAATAATATTTACGTTTTCAAAACGGAATGTATGCTTTGAAATATATTAGATAGTCAAATATTTAGGTTATTTAAATTTGTTTTGCAACTAATATGCAAACAGTATTATAGCATAAAAATATTTACTACTTGTCTAAAGAACAAACATATTAAGTAATTTTATATAAATAAATATCAATTATTCAAATTATTGTAAAGGCTATGAATTTATTGTATTTAGCGAAATATGTATTTCTATACTGTATAAGAATATAGAAATGTCTCTTAGATAAGAATATAAATTGAATTTATATAAAAATATACTGCGGCATATGTTAGTATAAAAATCAACTTAATATTTACTAACTTAGGTTTAGGTTTGAGCGTAGGCTAGTGCTATCTTTATTCGTATCTTAATTCATGTTAATCCGTTTAAATCGAATTTTAACCGCAACTCATCGGCTAAAAAATAAATAAAGTTAAATTATTTGAATTATTTATTGTATTTAATAAACAATTTTCAGTACTTTTTCAAACTTAGGAGTACTCGATATTTTTATTATCTATCTTTATTTAAAAAGGCTTTTATCCTGCAAGGATATGTTAGGGTGCGTACAGATTAAGTAACATGTTGTGTAACTTTTGTTTTATAACACGTCCACATTATGTAACATTATTTTTCAACATTGCAACATATAACAATACTGTACATATTGGAAAAACAATGCAATATAACTATGTTATATGACATTGTCGTATGACATTATCGTTTGTCTTTCTGCCGTTCGAGTTATATAACATATGTGTTGCGTTTTATAACACGTTTTATAACATTTAGCCCATACATTACTGAAACATGTTATATAACAACGTTTTAAAACATGTTATATCATATAATGTGTACGCACCGTTAGCCTTATTGTACCATACATTGTTCCTGTTACACAAATCCTAAGTATTTAGAAAGGGGGAATCAATGTGGTAAGAATATGGAAATTAATGATTTTGCTACGGCTGACTGTGGCTCCGCAAGATTAACATTGAATTTTTGCCCCAAATTCTCCCTTTACTCGATTTATTCAAGGTTAATCCAGTTGCTAGTCGTTAAAGTAGGGTTAGGGTATCCCAAAGGGTCATTTAAAGCCTAAGTATTTTATACTAACATTAGCCGTAATTTATACAAGTTAATATCTAAATAAAGGAAGCTTAATGTGATTCTGTCCAACATTTATGAAAAAACTTTACACCAAAATTAGCAGCGTTTTAAGTGAAGCCTATTTATCGATTTTTACTAAATAATTTTAATGAACAAATACATAAATTATAATATTGTATTAATAAGGATGTCTAAATGTTAGAATCATTACAAAAGACAATAAATTATATGTAAAGGAAATAAATTTGAATAAATCGATGCAAATTTTTTATTTAAACAAACATTCAAAAATACTATAAATGTTTTGCTACTAAGTTCGTTCAGTCTCGGTCTTACAAATGTTTTTAATTTATTAAATATAAATAATATAAGGACTAATCTCAATAGTAAAAATTATATGAGTATATTATATTATCGTAAATTTAAAGATTATTACTTTTCCTCACGACTAGAGATACTAGCAAAGACATTTAAGTAGTAGTAGTAATATATATTTTAAATCTCTTTGGATACTAGCCTCTGAGGCTAAAGCAAATCCTTTCTAACAGTAGAAAGAAAGAGAGAGATGGGAGATAAGGATTTTGGGTATTTTTCTTCTAATTTACTAAATCAGCCATGTTATCATCACTTGGATCTCATCAGAACTTCCTGGAATTTTCTTTTAGTCTACTCTTATGACACCCAATAAATGATGTTTATTGTTGGATTCTATCATGTTATGCAACCACCGCTGACTGGAATGGACTTCTATTGTACCAAAATAGACATAAGAACTTATACAGTTACTAATTTATAATCTAAAAAGTCCAGTACAGTAATCCAGTTTTTTCTCAAACATTACCCAAAAGCTTTTGCAATATAACAAAACCAAATGAATTAATGAATATGAAACATGTCCAACATAGGCCTCCTCCATAAATTGCCGAATAGGGTGGATTTTGCCATAGTTGCCAAGCTTGGCAGACGTGTTCGGAACGGCAGTAATTTATTAGTTTGAGTTGATATCAGGAAAACCCTGCTGTTCATTTTCCGTTTCAGTTTCCCTCTGTCACCTTTCACGATACGCATGGAGGACATACGGTACTGGATATTCTTACAACGCCATTACACGGTTTGTAAAGCCACAAAAATTTGTAGCATTTATAATTCACTAGTAAAATAAATTAATTTCTTTACGTTAAAAGCGAATTTTAAATTAAACTGACAAAAACAATTCCGAGGGATTTTCGCCTACAAATAAAGGACTTCTTTTATTGTATTTACGTTCTTTCATTACAAATTTGCTTTTTACAGAACTCACAGAATTACAACTCGCTTTATGAATATGTGTAAATATTTAAATTTTGTTTTTTCAAGTTTTAACGTCTTTATTGTTTATTACATAGTGGTTGTAAATAATGTAACATCCTACATACTTCCCACTAAGCACAGGCTGTTTTAATTTTTGAGGAACTTTCGCCGAGTTGCCACAAAGCGTATTGGCAGATTTCACATGTCACTGAAATATATTTTATTTTATTAAGGCGCAGGTTGAGCAAAATATCGCGCTAGTCGTTATTTGTGCGGTTTTTAGGAGCTATCTACTTTTTATTTAAAAGATATATCAACAAATAAAAACACATTATATTTCTACATAATCTTGATTCCATAAAAGCTATATCCAATTTTTTTTAAAGGAAAAAATATTAATATAATCTCCTTACAACGAAACCACATAAATGTGAAATTATTATTGATAACATGCATCTCCTCTTAAAGTAAGTATTATTTTATTTTGCGATTTACACCAATGGATAGGCAATTTATTAATGAACATTTCTATAGTAAATTTTTTTTCAAAAGACCAAAATTTGATTTTATTAAGAAATTATTTTAAAATCTGGGCATATTCACTGCGCACGGGCTTGCTGAAGTCAGTGAGCCCTGAGCTCTTCGACGTGAAGCCCGTGTCGTTAGAGCGTCGACCAGCGCATACGCCACGTCATATAAGTCGATAATATTATTACTTATTAGGTTATTTATAGGTAGTATTATTTGTTTGTTTTGGGTATAATTTTTCGTATTAGTTATACATATATTTGTTGTGTTTTTTATTGCGCGATGAAGCTTTTTACGTGTATTTTCTTTGAAGTAAATGCAAATAAAAAAATGAAGCACCATTAGCATGTAAGGTTCGAATCCATAATTAAAATTTCGACAAATATTATAATTTACACTATAAAAGGCTAATTCAATATTATCACCCAACCACAATATCTTATTAGGTATAGTACTGCCTCGTTGGTCTAGTGCTTGTAGTAGTGCGACTGCTGATCATGAGGTCCCGGGTTCGAATCCTGGGTCGGGCCATAAAGTCAGTTATGAGTTTTTCATTTATGTTCTAAGTTATAATTAGTATTACTAAGTTATAGTTTTTTGTTAAAATATAGTATATTAGTTATTGCTTGTTTTTTCTTCTTTTTCAAAAAATAATTGAGTACATAAGGTGTTCTATACTTATAATTCGGTAAAAAGTATCTAAGTAGGTACTAATATACCTACTTTTTACTAAAAATTTTTAAAACTAAATTTAACTAAAAAGACTAAACTGACCATTTATTTTTTAACTCAAAACAGGACATGGGTTTATTTATACTCTAAAAACTATAACTTTATACAATTAGTGTTCACTATAAAATTATATTCGGTATAGACGGTAATTATTAAATGCAACATATTTTTTTAAATTATTAATTACATTTGTCAGTGGATTAAATTTGCTTTAATAAAGTTGGTGATGATTTTAAATAAGAATAAAATTCTGCTCAAGTTTTTTTATTGTTATCTTTGTTA